GCTTTGGTGTTTGGCTCTGTGAAACTCAATCCCTCATTCATTACAATGTGACTGACATCAAAAGTTAATCAGTTATAGGGGTACAACCATTGATTACATTCTGAGGTTTTCATGGATGGATGGATGGATGGATGGATGGATGGATGGATGGATGGATGGATGGATGAGCAAAAATATACGTTGATGGATGGATGGAGCTTCATAAAACAAATCCATTTTACAATTTTTTGTCCCTTCTCTCCTGCCCTTCCTTATCTTTCCCTGCTTTGCAGTTTGGAGCCTTCTCTACATTTTTCATCCGAAACTAGAAATTATGGATATTTTTATTTTAATGCATTTGGTTAGCTGGTCTCTCAATAAAATTTTTGGAACAAAGTTAACTTTTCTTCTTCCATGGGAGGACGGGACCTCTGTTCTTCTCTGTTCTGGATATGTGTCTGGACTTCGATCACTGGATTCTGCAGATTGGCTTGGTGGTCTCCTGGTGTTCTACAAAACAGCGTCAGTGGCTTTTCATTTTCTGGCTGACTGACCAACTGGAAGGACGGCTGTATTCTATCAGCACTCGGACATTTTGCCTTGAGCGAGCTGAACTCGGTCTGAAAGCGGTTCTACTGARRGCCGTGGGCCGGCTGTGGTCCCTGGAYTTTGCTGGCCAGATGGAATTCATCTTGGAGAAGCTGATGAATCGGCTCGGCGGTATTTGTCCAYACCATTTTGCTTGATTGGATTCACCACCTTGAGATGTACCAGCAGACATTAATGCAGAGGGAAAATTGTTTATCGTCTGCCTGTCCCTTCTGTTCCCAAAACAACTGATTACAGAATCTGGATCTCCCTGGCAATGACCTTGATCTGTTGACTAAATCCTAAAGGCCCACAGAATGAACATTTTACCATCAATATTCTGAAGTTTGGCTGCGCTGGCTCTGGGACTGGATTCTTCGGGCCCCCTAATCTCACTTACTCCTCTGGCTTATAAATCTGCTTTATGCAGAGGTTTTTTTTTTTTCATAAACACTATAGTATGTCACAGTGTTGATACATYATAATATGTTTTTGCTTTTTCCCTCATCTTTCCCTTGTGTGGTTTTTAGTTTTCTGTATTTCTGTTGGTCTAAAGGTAGTGCAACTGTGTTTGCTGCGTGACCGGTCTTAACTGCCCCCTCCCCCTTTCCCTGAATGTACAGCACCTTGTGAATTTATTTCTGTGAAAGGTGCTATATAAATAAAACTTTACTTACTTACATACAATTTCTTGTAATGAGATTTTTGTTTCTGTGTTTTTTGTTGTTTTTACAGATAACTGCCCTTTTTTTTTTTAGCTCTATAAGATTTTAAAATGAGGTCAGGCAAAATATCAAAAAACTTTTCAAGGTAATGTTTTTGACCATTCAACTGTGTCCTATATACACYCTGGAAGCAGTGGCTTCTCCCAGTGGGAAAAACTACAAAAATCACTCAATAAAAGCTCCTTTGGGTTTCTGCCAGAAAACAGGAAAAAGGTACTAACCTAAAGTTTAAATGCCCCTGATCCAAGTTTGATCATTCATCTGTAGGATGCAAGCCATACTGACCAAAAACAAAGTCCACAAGCTGGAGAACCAACATTTTCTTGYGTCAACATCTCGTTGCCAAACATTACAGAAATCCTCCAGATAATTATTGATGGCACTCCAAAGTGTGAAATTTAATGGGGTGGGACAAAAAGGGTGTACACARTATAACTCAGGAGAATGTTGTGACTATTTCACAATCTGAAATTTTTTAAGCTCTAGTCAAAAACAGAAGCAAGATCAAAGTAAAAATAAATGAATAAATAAATAAACTAAAGCAAAGACACTAATGTGTTAAAATATGTTTTAAAAGAAACAAAACACACCATTTTTAATTTTTGCTTTTTGACAAGTTTTTCCAATTTATATTTCAAATAGGAGGAAAGAKTAATTTAGATTTATGCATGTTTTTTATACAAAACAAAATTTATTCTGGGACATATTTTAATTTTATCATTTATTCTATAAAATGCTATTTATGCATCTAAATTAGGGTACAACCATTCCATTTTACTCTTTTTTTAAATTCCTCCAAACATGAAAATGTGCTTGGAAACTTGAGTACATCTTGCATGTTTCACCTCCTGAAGCTGCAGTCCGACTACACA